TTGGGGTTTAGGGTTGGGGTTTAGGCTTTAGGGTTCAGGGTTTAGGGTTTAGGGTTTAGGGTTTAGGGTTTGGGGTTTGGGGTTTGGGGTTTGAGGTTAGGGGTTTAGGGTTTAGGATTTTGCGTTGAGGCTTTGGGGTTGAGCCTCGTGGGGTTTAGGATCTAGTGTTTGGGGCTCAGTGTTCAGGGTTTTCTTGTGTTCTTCAGCGACTCTTGCAGGATGTTATGTGCTGCGTAAAGTGCATGACGGTTCTATGGGGCTTGTACGGCCCGGTTGAGAGTTGTTTGGGCTTCTTCTCGGCGTGGGAGATGCTTTAGGGATTCATGGCCTAGATAACATCCCTGCTAACCAAGCACAATGCCCCATGAACAAGCTCTACCAACACTGATAAGCTGAAGAAAAATGCAAACCAATCTCACAATCTCAGAAACATAAGATGTGATAAGCCCTAAACCCTAGACCCCACGTAGGATGTGGTCCTTCCTCTAAACCCTTAACCCTAGACGTGCCCTGAAATTCATGGCGGTCCCTCCTGCAGGGCATCCGTAGAGCAATCCAATATGCTGTGGCGGTTCGGGCTGATAACAACACCCATGTCAATGTGATGTAGGGTTCGTATTGCTAGTATCCCTAGAACTATAACCCTAAACCCTGAAGCCTAACCCTAAACCCTAAACACACACTCAGCAATACTCAAAAGGAGGCCTGCAAGCACTCACCAAACCCACTTCATGCAGTTGCAGCAATCACTGTATCCTCTTCTGACCACGTCCGTAGGCTCCCCAGGCTCACCAAAATGACCCCCAAACCCTGAACCGTAGAACGTAGCCCAATACTCCTAAACCCCAAACCCTATCATCTAAACCCCAAAGCCAAAACCCCATAATTCCTCGGACTTTTTTTGTTTAGAAAGAAGCGAGGCAGAACTCCCAAGAGCAAGAATGAAAATGGAAGCCCTAAACCCTAAACCCTAAACCCTAAACCCTAAACCCTAGCAGCGGGTCCTGGTTCCGATCCATGGCCTCCCAAAGGAGATCCTTCATTGGGTTTGTTTTTAGGCTTGAGGGTGAGGGTTTAGGGTTGAGGGATTTGGTTTTTTTAAAGGGTTTAGGGTTTAGGGTTTAGGGATTAGGGTTTAGGATTTGGGGCTTAGGGTTGAGGGATTAGGTTTGTTTTTAAGGGTTTAGGGTTTAGGGTTTAGGGATTAGGGTTTAGGATTTGGGGTTTAGGGTTGAGGGTTTGGGGTGTAGGGCTGAGGGTTTAGGGTTTAAGGTTCAGGGGTCGTTTCATCAAGGTGCCACAGGCCAGGACGCAATCTTCCATGGGTTCTAGAAGCTTTCCATCCTGCTTCTGTTGCTTTTGTGGTTCGTGTTACTTTCACACGGACCCTAAAGAAAGCTAAACCTAAAGCTTCTAGACGAGTTTGGTGTTTTAAGGCATTTGCCGATGTGAGGTACTAGAAACCCAATAAACCCTACAAGCCCTAAACCCTAAACCCTAAAAACCCTAAACCCCAAACTCCACGAACCAGAAACCCTGAACCCAAACAACCCTAAGCCCCATCAACCCTAAACCCCTTGAACCCTAAACCCTAATACCCTA